ATCGTCAACATGCTCCTTAGGAACCTGGGCAATCTCAAGCAATCTCAACTTATCATCATACTGGATCAAGGTACCACCCTGGAGGAGACATCAAAATTATAGCATTAAACATTATTCTACAGTAGTGCTACTACCATACAGCTAATAATGTCTTATTACTTTGGATACATATAAACAAAAGGCTTACCTTAACATCAGCCCTTGTCTTGTCTGTAACCTCCATCAGAAACTCACAGTGTCCACTATTGTCACCACCAAGAAGGAAGTTGAGAATGTTGAGATCAACTGTTGCTCCCAAGTTGTCAATGTTACTGATGAAGACATATTCTTTGCCCTGTGAAAAAAAATCCTTTATTCACATATGTGATCTCTGGGAGGAGGAAAAGTTGGAGGATTAGTTAGAAGGGAGTGCAGATGAGGAGGAGGAGGTGGAACAAGAAAAGGAGAAGCAGCAGCAACAGATGAAAAATGAGGCAACAATGAACACAAAGAAAAAATGCAAAAGCATGAATATATACAAGTAATATAAAATTAAATACTTAAATAAAAGAAGGGAAACAATAACACCCTGCAAACAGATATGAAAAACAATTGTTAAATAAAATAGTGGGAGTTGGTTGATTACATCTGTAAAAAGAAACAGTTTAAATGTTAAAGAAAAGTTTTACCTGACTGATGAACTCTTGCAAAAGTCCAGAGTTTTTGAATGATTGATAGAAGTCACCGTGACCAGGAGGATACCACCTGCAGATCATAAAATAACATTGTCAATATCAGTAATGAATGTGTCTAGAGAGGAACACTATGCTTTCTTTTTTGTTTAACCCTTTTTCTGCCGGGGAAAATGAATGAAAAATGGGGAAAATTCTGTGCTCCTTTTTTATACTTTTGTGAAATGTCTCTGTACATAGATGGCTCTGCTTGTACTTAGCCATAAAGGATTTCACCTTTCCTTGAATTGGCGAGAAAAATGTATTTTTACTAGTGCTATAAATATGGATGGTGTTATTTTCATTATAAACATTATAATAACTATAGTTTTATAAACATTTGTAACAGTAAAATAAGATAATGTTAAATATTTTCGTAAATCAATGAAAAGGGTGAACAGGCGAGACAGGCAGTGCTCGTAACAGGCTCCCTGGTGACTTAGTACAAGTGTAGCCATCTATGTGTAAAAACAATTTAACAAGTAAACTCACAATGGGCATGGCATGTACACACATGCCATGCCCGTCGGCAAGGGGTTAATACTAGGATGCTTATTACACTAGACCTATCACATTCTCCATGAATTTCAACTAGCAATCAATGCTAGCATCATCACTGTTTTATGATTGGCTGTGAATTTTGTTGTACAGATGGCTCCACAAGTACTCAGACACCAAGGAGTCAATTAGTAGACCTTAGTGACCATGCCTGATTTCCCTATTCCTTGAATTTGCGAGATTTTTTTTTCTCCAAATGTTATTAATATCAATGTGTTATTCACTTGACGACCATTATAATGTCATCATATACTAATAACAATAAAAATAATAAAATACTATAAAAGAATCTTTCTAAAAATCAAGGAAAGTGGAAACACAAGAGATGTACATTATTATATCTTCTGAATTCAATGGGTTAAATATAATGAACACAAAAACTACTTCTGTATCTGTTGCAGTAACTGTGGCAGAACTAACAGTGGCAAAGATTAATAATGATCTAGTTAAACAGAACAATAGTTCCAAGAGGCTCTCAAAAGCCTGAAAAGTGCCTAATCCTGGACATCCTCAAGTGAGACATATTATTTAACTAAATGTCTGTTTGGCAATAATTAAAGCTTTTTTGCTACTGCCTAATCATTCATATTAATCCTCATTAAAAAGTGATAAGGTGTGAGTGAGATCTGGATAATTATAACATATTTTGATCAAATGCGCTAATAAAATATTTCAATTAACAGATCAAATTTTTGGACTTACGCTTCCAAATCAGATTCAACACTGCAAGTCTTGGCAATTGGCATCAAAGATTCTTTATTGATACGTGGGTACCTGGATTGGTTGAAAGTGTATGTTTTTACCTGAAAGACGAAAAACAGTGTTTATGAATTAAAGGATGTCACATGTCCATCTAAAATATATTATACAAAGCAACAACTACTACTGAATAAATAGTATAAGACTATTTACATGTTTTAATAAACAAAAGACTACTTTGTAGACATGAGGGTTTTTTTAGAATCAGCATAAGTGTATGATAAGACCACTGATCCCATCTTGGACACGTGATCTGCGGTGATTTAAATAATAAACCTCTACTATTTGTTAATACCTGTTATTTCAAGGCTATCAAATACAAAACCAAAGTAATTTTAGAAAATACAATTAATCTTCCTTAAATATAATTTCTGGTCTTGCCTCCCATTTACCTGACTCTTGTCTTCTTACTGATTATTATTTTACTATTCTGCATCACATGATAGCTCATGTGAAATGATATTTGAACAAATAACTGTCCTGTTGGTAACTTATCACTGTTAAATTGTACCTCTGTTGTCTTTTCTACTACCACCATTTGTGATTAGCAGCTTACTTCCTCACCTGAAATCCCTGATACTTGCGGATGACCTTCTGCGTGTCTTCATCAGTGTTGAAGGAGTTCATCAGTACAAGAGGCACATCACAACCATACGTCTTATTCAGGTGCTAAACAATGAAAAAAAAAGATAAGACTTTACATATAAGATAAAAAAAATAAATGAATAATAAAATAAAATGTTAAAAATCAAGAAAAATAACCTTCTATATATAAATGAAAACATCAATTCTCAATCGAGATTAAAAGACATATGGGAGGACCCAGCGTGTCTTGGACCTATAATTTTTGAGATTCCAAAGAATCTATAAACTGTAAACTTCTTAATTTACTTACAAATGCTTTTGTTAATTTAAAGATACATATATATATTCATTTTACAAATACAGAAGATGACTATGTAACATAACTCATCCCACAATTATCTGCATTTATTTAACTCTACAGAATATTCATATGTTGATTACAGGTAGTGATATTAACAAAAGAGGAAGCAAAGAATAAGGAAAACATGAATTGCAAATTACACAAAACTGGTAAAACTTACTTCAATTTGTTGCACAGTAAGGTCAAGGAAAGTTAATTCTGAGCGTACAGGGATGATGGATTTTGGGCCCTGACACCCCATAGATGTACCCAGGCCACCATTCAGTTTCACCACGACTAACTTGTTGAGCATGTCTCGAGCATGGGACGAATCTGGTCCACATAGCTCAGAATATTTCCGTACCTGCAGTATAAGTTGTTGCTAATTAATCACCAGATCAAAGAACAAATAATAAAATAATACAGGAATAGAAGAAACTACTCTAATGAACTTATCAAGATGTTGTTTTGTTTTATCTCAAGACACTATCATCACTAGTTTTAAAACTTAATTTCATAAACATGTATTTCATGTACTACTCTTATGAATCAGATAACAATTATGAATAATAGTCCATACTTACAGCTCCATCATGCAGTTTCTGGATGTTATCCCATTCAACTGACGGTCCAACCTCATTGATGAAACGGCTGAAGAGCTTTTCAAAGCCCTCAAAATCTTTCTGTGTGGTTTCTTTGAGCTGGGCCTGACATGTGTTTGTCAACTTCTGCAATTCATGTGCTAGCTGCACTTGTGCATCCTTCTTTGTCAGCTCCTTGAACTCCATGGAGGGAGATCTCTGGTGACCAAACACCTGTGGGGAATATGATTGTATCATGTTTGGTTTCACTCTCCACAAAAATGTTCAACAAAATGGGCACACTGAATATTCTAAGCAAGTGCAACAACAGGAAGCAACTATCAGCTTATCTGCGGAAGACAAATGGTGCAGGCATGGGAATTTTTTCTAGACCATACGGTAAATTTTCGAAACATTTTTACATGGGTTTTTACATGGGTTATTCACTGCTGTATCCATTATAATTTTTTCCACAATGTATACATATATTATCAGTATCAAAATCATTTCTCTTCCCTCCATTTCTAATCAACAGCCTTCCTTAAGTTTAAATGGTACAAGCCAAATGTGTGTGTGTGTGTGTGTGTGTGTGTGTGTGTGTGTGTGTGTGTGTGTGTGTGTGTGTGTGTGTGTGTGTGTGTGTGTGTGTGTGTGTGTGTGTGTGTGTGTGTTTATGTTTATATATATATATATATATATATATATATATATATATATATATATATATATATATATATATATATGTATATATGTATATATATGTATATATATGTATATATATGTATATATATGTATATATGTATATATATGTATATATATGTATATATATGTATATATATGTATATATATGTATATATATGTATATATATGTATATATATGTATATATATGTATATATATGTATATATATGTATATATATGTATATATATGTATATATATATATATATATATATATATATATATATATATATATGTATATATATGTATATATATGTATATATATGTATATATGTATATATATGTATATATATGTATATATATGTATATATATGTATATATATGTATATATATGTATATATATGTATATATATGTATATATATATATATATATATATATATGTATAATATATATTATATATATAATATATATACTTATGTATATATATGTATGTATATATGTATGTATGTCTGTATGTATGTCTGTATGTATGTCTGTATGTATGTATGTATGTATGTATGTATGTATGTATGTATGTATGTATGTATGTATGTATGTATGTATGTATGTATGTATGTATGTATGTATATATATATATATATACACGCACATATATATATGTACACACACACATATATATATATATGTACATATATATATATATATATATATATATATACACACACACACATATATATTAGGGGGCTTCAAAAAGTTCATGGAAAAAGTCCATAACTAAAGAAATCATATGGAAGGATTTTGATTTCAATGCACTTGAACATTCTTTTATCAGTGTGTTATAATGTGTTCAAAGATGGACCCTTATATGCAGATAATAACACAAGTCAGGCACCACTTCATTTTATTTCGAAACAAAAGAAATAATTCACTGAAAAGTACTAATTTTCCATTGGCTGAAGAAGTAAAAAGAGCTGCTCTGAAAAGGTTCTGAACATAAGACTTACAATTGATGGTAATGTAGTACCACCTGCATTAAGGGCTCATGTCTGAACATATTATAACACGTTGGTAAAAGAATGTCAGGTGCAGATAAATATATACATATATATATATACATATATATATATATATATATATATATATATATATATATATATATATATATGCTGGGGACAAGTGTGGCAGGCTGTGGGTCCTATTGCGAAGGCGAATGCTGGGGCACAGGTTGGAAGCGAGGTATTACTCTTCCTGAAGGGTGGCATCTACACGGAGTGACTGCCCGAGGTTCAACCTCAGGTGGGCTGTCTAGGTGGTGGCTTAGAAAATTAGCTGTTTGAAATAATAAGATCTATCCCTGCTATCTTGGGAGCTGAAATGGTTGATAATATCAGAACCCCAACACATGTCACTGGATATGGTACAGTGATTATGGTACTGATACTGACCATAGATTGGTCATGGCTATCCTTCAGGTCCATTTCAAAGTCTCTCTGTATGTCCAGTGTCCACCCTAGGGTTTTACTTGGACAACCTTGGGGAGGAGTGTGCCTG